GTTCTTTAGTTGGAGATATGCAGGTGGAACAGGAGCCTTCTTCCTGTTGCCAGAAGTCACAAGCTTCCAGCCTTGACCCTTTCCTAACCCAATAAGCACAGACCACCTGATCCTCCTTCAATACAGCTGAAGGTTCAGGCTGCAGGGTCCTAGCAGCAGCAGTTCTAGCAAAAGACCAGAGCCACTGTGCATTACTGGCAATAGATCCTTTCCCCTGAGAATGGCTTTTTTATCTCTTCACAGGTGACAGGATGGACAGTAACAAACTTGTTTGGGAATTCCTATTCCGGGCAGAGAAGTTATGTTCAACATATTTTTCACGTTGTATTTCTCAATTTCAGCAATTACAAGTACCGGAAAGACCGCAGAATCTTGTTATTTGTGAGATTTGTGTAGGAGAGAGATTTCAGATAAGAACCCGAGCTTTTTGAATGCTTATCCAAAAATAAATGTTCTCGTAACTTTTTTTTTGCTCCATCATTTAATGTGTGTTTAGTAACACTTTACAAACTATCAGAATGAACTTAGGGCATTTATTTTGCACCAGATTGTTCTGAAGATTCTCTGGAAGAGGTTTTTGGCAATTTTGATGATAGCCAGATCAACTCGAAGAATGTTTGGAGCATGTAGGTGCTTCGGCTTTTGGTAATAGCTGGGTATGTTAACCACTATATGCAGGACAGAGGACAACAACATTTTTTAATTTAATGTACCATTTTCAGAGCTCATTAAAAATTTGTGATCACTCTATATATCACTGTCCTCTAATAATATAGTGTTTAGCTAGAAAGAGGGAATATTATTTCTTTAGAATTTAGAATTCCTCTTTCTTCATAGCTAAAGACTTTTTTCTTTTTTTAAATCAGGATGACACTGAGCTGCTTCTTTCCACACTTATTTTTTAAAACAGACCATCCTGTAATACAGTGGGGTGAAAAAGTTCTTATGTTAGGTGTTTTACATAGCATTTTTCCAGAAAAAGAAAAATATTTTCTTTAAATAGCTAAATATTGTTGACACATTATTTACAGTAGCCCTTATACTTTGACTTTTTCTTATTCTGTGGGTAATAAATTAACATGAGTGAATGCTTAGTTAATTAGTAAGTGCATACAAAAAATGCGTATGTAGAAGCATAAGTGGGTTAGATGACTGACAGTGCAAAAGAGCATTTTGTTCTTTGCCTGGAAACCTCAAGAAAGAAAAAAAAAAGGACAAAAAAAAAAAAGGACAAAAAAGCCTGTTCCATAAAGCTAATACAGAAGTTTTATAAATCCAAATTAAATTTTGGATGAGCATCCACATTTGGGGGCAGTTACATAAACTAGTTATCACTACAAATTTGAAGAAAAGGATGCTGTGAAAAATAAAATAGTTCTTTCTTTTTAAGCAAATTGGCTAACTTTGCTAGCAGAAGTTCTTAATTACACGATTCATCTATTACTCAAGTTGAAAAAGGGCATTTCTCATTTTAGGTGACTTCCATTAACCATTAATTCTTACTCTACCAAACATGGCGTTTTGCCTCATAAACAAACTCCAGTCTTTACTTGGACTGTTTCTTCTTAGAGGTAGTGAAAAAAAAAAAAAACACTTAAAGATAATATGATTTCCCTTTTCTAGTTTCTTCTTCTTCATGACTGTAGTGGCATTTATTCTCCACCACCAAGATTTCACAGCAGTAAGAGCAATCCTACCTTCTGTTAGTTAAACACATTCTTATATATTGCTTATTGATACCGCCTTTGAACACTGCACATTGCATTTTGTTCTTCAGAACTAAAATAAACAGCATGTTGGCAATGGTTCAGGGTACTTCAAGCTTACTTGAGGAAACTGCAGTATTGCAATAATTGCCATTTCCTGCAGGGTTTTGCTCCTTAAAAGCAAAAGCACTTAGGCAAAAATTGAAGGTGGAAAAATTCATGATGGAAGTTTTCAGGAGATAGGAAACAATTGTTGCAATTACTGATGTGCCTGTAGGAATGCCAAAAAGAATTTTCACTGCTGATCATAAGTTTCTTGAAAGGGTCTTAGGTGAAGTGGTCAGTTCTGTTTGTTAAATCAGAAACTAAATAATTGTTACATAATTTAGAATCAAATAATAGTTCAGGTTGGAAGGGACCTCAGGAGGTCTCCAGTCCAACCTCCTGCTCAAAGTATGGTCAATGCTGAATTCAGACGAGTTTGCTCAGGGCTTTACCCAGTCGGGTCTTGAAAACATCTAAGGACGGAAACTACACAAACCTTTCTGGGCAACCAGTTGCACTGCTTAACTGTCCTCCTGGGTTGCTTGTGCCCTGCTTTGTTGCCCCTCTAAAAGATATTGGAGTTGTTCAAGCCTCTCATGAGAACCAGAGCCTGTGAACATGAGGCTTATTCCAGTTGCCTGAAGAAGACCTGTATTGGCTTTACGTGGCAAGGTTTTGGTAGAGGTGGGGAGGTGCAGGGATGGCTTCTATGAGAAGACACCAGAAGCTGCCCCCATGTTGGAAAGACCCAGTTTCAGCCGGCTCCAAGATGCACCCACCGCTGGTCAAAGTCTGAGCCAGAGACATTGGTAGCACCTCTGTGTTAACATATTTAAGGAGGGGGGAAAAAACTGCTGCACACCACCAGCTGGGAGAGAGGAGTGAGAATATGTGGTGAGAGAAACAAGTATGCAGACACCAAGGTCAGTGAAGAAGGAGGAGGAGGAGGAGGAGGTGCTCCAGAGATTCCCCTGCAGCCCCGAGTGAAGACCATGGTGAAGCACATTGTCACCCTGCAGCCCATGGAGGTCCACAGTGGAGCAAATATCCACGTTGCAGCCTGTGGAGGACCCTGTGCTGGAGCAGGTGGGTGTGCCCTGAAGGAACCTGTGGCCCGTGGAGAGGAGCCCACACTGGAGCAGGTTTTCTGGCAGGACCTGTGACCTTGTGGGGGACCCACACTGGAACAGTCCGTTCCTTAAGGACTGCACCCCATGGAAAAGACCCATGCTGGAGCACTTCTTGAAAAACTGCAGCCCGTGAGAAGGACCCATGTTGGAGAAGATCGTGAAGGACTGTCTCCCATGGGTGGGACCCCACACGGGAGCAGGGGAAGAGTGTGAGGAGGAAGGAGAGGCAGAGACAAAGCGTTAT